GTGAGTGAGTATGATGAAAGTTCTGAAATTTAATCTTTTTGTTAGGTATTATTTTAAGAGCAGCAGAAATAATACTTATTTGAATTTTGTGCCAGTGTGATTCAAGAGAGTTGCTAGTATTTGTATCAAGTGAGGTATTATTTTGAGTAAGATTGTGGTTAACTTGGTTTACGAATTCTTTCCATGTTTCTTTGTTCATAGAGCTATAATCAAAGATCCTTCTATTTGCTTTAAATTTTTGTTTATAATTTGTATTAGCATAAGGAAATAATCATGAAGATATGAGTATCATATGGGGTCTGTGTCTTGAAAATGAGGTTCTGAGGTTCCCAGACCAAAAATTAGATTTTTGTTAAATATTAATCTATAAGTCATGAAGTTTATTTAGTATAAACTTTATGCCCTGTTAACTTAATATTTAAAGCGGGTAATTGAGGGTTGAATCTTTTTACTAAATTTGGCGAGAAAATTTTCCGATGATCTAAAAATAGAACCAAAATGATCGACATAATAGATAAATGTTTTGCCGTAACTTATTATTGATCAGTTTTGTACTACCAGAGATTGTGCCTTGAAAATGACCCTACGAGGCTTCATTACACAAATTTAATCGTCATCCAATCATAAAAAACACTACTATCACGTGTTACCATCTATATGTATAATAAGTTATTTAACCCGAATAACTGTAAAATCTATATCGAATACCCTAAATTCAAACTTTTAGATATTTAACCTGCGTGACTATAGATTAGAAGAATCAGTTAATTAATTATTGCTATCTGTTTAAAAATCAGGCCCAGTAAAAATTCAGACTTGAAATTTGGTGCACGAGCGCACATTCTGTTTGACTATAAAATTTTTTTGTGTGCAAAAAAAAATTTTATATGCCAAGCGCATATGTGCACATCGAATTTTTTTCACTGATTGAGTCCATTCTCCATGGTATTAACTAATATGCACGTTAACTTAGCATTAGAAGTAGATCGTGAAAGTGTTATCAAGTAATTTTGGGATGATCCTTACAATTTTATTCTGTGAAAGTAAATTTTAACTAATCAGAATTCTATGAGAAAATTACAATAATACAAAAGACAATCATGACCAGTTTAGTTGAATCAATTTGTAATTTGAAATGTAAGATAATGCATTAAAATAATATACATGTTTGTTTTAAAGCTTTATATTTGAGTATGTGAGAATAAAAATCTGTACGTAACCACTAATGGTTTATTATCGTAAGTTACAGGGTTTATGATTCCTCCATGTCGCAAAAAACTTCATATTTTGATGCATAAATACGTCTGATTTGCAGTTAACTTTTTAACCAGCATAAAAATTGATACTTGTTGTGCTGTATAGAATGTTATAAATGCGAAAAAGAAATGCCGGTCAGTACCTTAAAACTTCATCTATCCGTTATCTGCTCTCCTAATAATAATAATGCAGGTAGTACGTATTGTTATTATATGTGTGTTATTATACGTGTATATACACATACTATGTATTTTTATTAATTCAAGCTCTTAATTCACATAGACTTAGTCGAAGTGCAGATACCGTTTATACGTGATTTTTATAATTAATTACTATGACGAATTTTTTATAATTTGTATTTAAAAATCGCACCTGTTTAATATTCTTATCGTTAGAAAGATATTTATTGTACCATATCTATTTTTTTAAAAAAAAAAAAAATGTCTTAACAATCAACTGTTAATACTTTAAGGCCTGTTTACGATTTGGTTGAATTAGAATTAGGCGATTATGAAGAAAATGAGCTAGTTCTTAATACTATTTACGATTTAAAATTATTTTTTGAAAATCCTGATAATTGTACTTGCCGTCGAACTCCAAAACAAAAAGATATTAGAACTTGTTTTAAAAAAGTAGGGTTTAAACGTTTTTTTGAAAGACATTTTGAATTAAAAGCTTTAGAAGAACACGAACTTGAACTTTTTATAAAATCACAGTTAATTTCATTTGAAATTAGTGATGAAAAATATAAGAATAAAACACAAAAACATACATATAGATATAAATATAATAATTCTTTACTTCTTTGTAAGACAGCGTATTTAAAATTATGTGGAATTAACGATTACTTACTTACTACTTTGCAAAATCATTTACAAATAAATGGATTAACTGAACGCGTTCATGGAAATACCGGTCATGCATCTAAAACAGAATCAAGAGTTTTTTTAGATTTTAATATAACGTCTACAATTAAACAATTTTTAATACAATACGGAACAATTCATGGGCTCCCTTCTCCATTACGGCATCAAGACGATTCTGATGTTTTTATTTATCTTCCAACTAGTCAATCTTATACTTCAGTTTATAATGAATATAAAAAAATTTTTTATCTTATACATGATCAACTCGAAAAAATAATTTCTTATTCTACCTTTAAAAAATTATGGCACGAAATGGTTCCTAATCTTCGATTTCAACCACCTGCAAGTGATCTTTGTGAAATTTGCACTTCCTTTAAAATCAAATTATTAGCTGCAAAAAAAGATATCGACGAATATAATAAAGTTCAAGTCGAGTATAACGAACATAAGGAAGCTGTGGATCTTGAAAGGCAACATTATAATAATAACATCGAAAAAAGTAAAAATAATTTAAACGTTACGCATATTTGTTATGATTGGGCACAAAATGTTTCTATACCGTATTCGCCACAACAAGTAGGTCCGCTTTATTTTAAATCTTCCTTTTCTGTACATATTTTTGGTGTTTGCAAAACTGGCGAGCAAAATTATCAGTTAAATTTTCTAATTGGTGAAAATGAATTTCCCGAAGGAGTTTCAAAAGGTGCTAACACTACACTAAATATGATTTATTATTTTCTTCAAAAAAAAAATCCTAAAAAAAAAAAATTATGTGTTACTTGCGATAATTGTTGCGGCCAAAACAAAAATAATCTATCGCTTTGGTTTTGGTCTTGGTTATGTTCATTAAATTGGTATAAGGAAATCGTTATTAATTTTATGCTTCCTGGTCACACGAAATTTATTTGTGACTCATTTTTTGGGCAAATTAAAAAAGTTTATAGAGATAATCGTGTGAATATTATTGATGACGTTGAAAATATTGTGAACAATTCGTCAAAGGGAAATGAAGCAATTCAATATAAAAATGGTAAAGGATGGGTTTGGTACGATTTTAGTTCTTTTTTTAAAAATAACTTTACGTCTTTGCCAAATATAAAACAATATCAACATTTTCGATTTAATAGCTCAGAAAATGGAAAGGTTTATGCTTCAAAAAAATCAGGTGGAGAGGAAACTTCTTTTCAATTATTACATAATATCAATTTTGACAAAAATAGTATCTTAAATACTCTTTCTACTGTACCATTATCAAATGACCGCAAAAAATATTTATATACAAAAATTCGTCAACACGTTGATGACCCGTATAAAGATATTCTTTGTCCGCAACCTTAATACATATTAAATTTTTTTTTATTTTTAAAAATATTTTAGTGTTTGAGGAAGTTAATATCATATCAAAATAGTGCGCAAGATTGGATATGGTAAATATTCTGTGGCGTTTGAGAGAGTTAACAACATGGACAACGAAAAACATGTGATTAGTAATGATTTTACCCTGGCTTACTTTTGTCAGGGTTTTGTCAAGGATTTTGTCCTTCATTAAAAGAATACTTTTCGTCAAAGGTCTCGTCTTTCAGATGGGTTTTAAATATTATTTCATAAAACCATTCTTCTGGTGAATTAGCCTGCATTTCATTGGATTTTCTTGATAGAAATGGTATAAATTTCATGTGTAATTAGGGTTGAAAATTACATTTTACATTACAATGAAATTACATTGTAACTTACGAAACTTTAATGTAACTTTACATTAAATAATACATTGTCACATGATAATTGCACTAGCATTACAAAAGTTTTGCCAGTATTTAGATATCCATCATTATATTCGGAGCTATAATTTTTATACCAAAATTATTCACACGATCAAAATTACGTGTAATTTTGATTTCAGAAACTTACACAGACTTACGTAAAATTACGTAAAATTATGGTAATTTTATAACCCTATGCGTAATATTAGATTGTAATCTCTTCTATATTTTTTTCTAAAACAGCTGATACATAATTAATAGTATGAGGACCTACAGAAAGAAAATAAAAAAGCTCTATATCGTTTCCTTTAAAGTATAAATTAGCGTCAAACAGATTTGAAGCCTCTGTTAATAAAAATATATAAATTCGAACCTATTTTGATATGAAATTTAAATATTTTTTTTGAAGTGTTTTTTCCCGCTTTTTTTTAAAGGTTGAGTTAGAACTTAGGGATAGAATTGATAATTAAAGAGTATATGTGCATTATAGCAGGGCTTGTATTTTCAAATCGAGGCTCTAGATTTTAGCATCAGCTGTGACAATTACTAGCTCAGGGTATACATGTGTGCCTAAATTGCCCATCCTAATAAAAAAGTAATTACGGCATTTAGGCAGCCGAAATTAGTCTTATATAGTCCGAAATTAATTTTCATATTTGCTGAAATTATTGTCGAAATTTTGAATTCTTTTCATCAAAATACATCATATAGTATAGTTATTTCGGAGAGTTTCATATAAAAAATTTAGCAATGCCGAAATATTTGCTGAAAATACTTTTTTTCAAAAATAATTTAGACACACATGTATAGCTCAGGGCATCATTCTTTGCTGAAAACTTTAATTCTATCTAAATCCGTTTGCTATACATTATGAACAATCTTTAGTTTTTTGGTCGTGATTTTATTGTGTAGATTAGTGATGTGAACCGTAAATTATAAATAAGATAAATAATCTATGGATATCCATCAGTTTAAAGTAACCCATAGATTATTTATATCATCTGTTTAATATTCAGTTCACATCTCTAGTTCTCTAGTATAGATAATTTTATTTTAATTAATTTTTAATAAGCAAACATCTATTATCTGATGTTTAGAAGTCACTTAAATTTTATATATTGTAAGAGCAGCTATCTTGATCTAAAAAATATCCAAAAAGTAAGTAAAATTATTTTCTTTAATTAGTCTTCTTTCGAAATTCACAATTTTGATTGGTTGATCTATACCCCGGCCTCAAAGTACCCCTAAAATATGCAAAGATCGGCGATCTGCATATCTAAAATTAACGACAAATCAAATTTGAGTTGTTTTGGTTACACAACCTTTAATCGTTTGTTTACTCAAAAAAAATTTCTAGTGCCGTAGGGTCATTTTCAAGGCACAAACCCCATATAAAGATTGCAGATTGAGCAGATGCAAGTAAGTCTACTATATAATACAGCCTAGTGCTTTGTATTTGTAGCAACAACAACTTGACTTAATAGCTAACTAGATTTGGGAGGATCTAACTTGTAAAATTTTTAAATATGTAGAAACTAATCTGGTAGAGAGCTACAGTAGAAACTAAGTTTATATGAATATCTATAAGGGTATATGCTAGCTTAATTGAGATATAGCACAGCATAGTTAGAATATTCTATAGGCCCCTTCTGATAAGGACAAAAAGGTATCTTGAGATAGAGCCTTCCTAATAAGAGAAACTAAGATACAAGATCAGTCTGAGTAGTCCTTATTAAGATAGCATAAGATTGTGCAGGTTTAAGAATAAAATTAGATTAATATTAAAGATAATAGTAATACTAGAGAGTTTAAAATAGAGTATCTACAAATAGATACTAGGTATGACAATTAGTAGGTAATCTCTAAGCAGAACTTTTAAATAGACAATGATTAAAATTATACATATGACCAAATATATTCTCACTAACTAATATAAATCTACAAACAACTTAATAAAATTAACTAACATCAAGGCCTTGTTGAAATAATAAAAAAAAAACATAATATAGAATAAAGTAATGCAGATATTAGCTAATCTTGATAATACTTTGTATCTTGATTTATTAAAAAAATAGTCAGATATATATAAACACATATGCAGAAATATTATGCTAGTAATTAGTAAGGCTTTGAAGAGTTAATTTAAGTATAATTTGAATGAATTAAAGTATATTTTCTAAAGCCTTTATTACTATTACTAAGAAAAATAGATAATTAATTAAGATAAAGAAAAAGTAAAGTATGATAAAAAAAAAAAAAAGAACAAATATATACTGCTATAATGTAATTATAGTTTTATTTTTTTATAAATATGTCATACTTATGATATTAATATTGATTTTTTTTTATTTTTTTTATTTTTTATTTTTTTTATTTTTATTTTTATTTTTTATAAAAAAAATACAGACAAAGCAGAAGGATTAATTATATAATTAATTCTAAGAATAAAAAGCTCAAAGAACTTGTTTCTAATATTAGTTAAGAAGAGTTTATAACTAATATCGAATATATAATTAATAAACCTGACTTCTATTTAGATAAAGTATCAGAAACTGATATTAAAAAATTGAATTTGAAAAAATAATTAAAAATTCATTCAAATTCTAAAAAAACAACAATGATAATTATGTAATCTATATCATTAATAAACTATAGTATTTAAAAAAGGTGAGTAATTAATTAATTCCTAGAATATCTAATTAAAAATTTGATAATAAGTTTTTGATTTCAGTAAAATCAAAAATTTATTTAGTTAAATTTTTAATCAGGTGTTTTAGGAATAATCTAATTAATTAATTTTTATATTTTTTTTTTTTTTTTTTTTTTTTTTTTTTTTTTTTTTTTTTTTTTTTTTTTTTTTTTTTTTTTTGTTTTGTTTTTTTTTTTTTTTTT